ACAAAAACACCAAAGGGTAGATGACGCCGGTGCAGCGGGAGGGCCTGGAGGCCCCGGGGGCCCTGGAATGGGAGGCCGTGGTGGTTTCCGTGGAGGCTTCAGCAGCGGCATTTGAGGCCAGGGTCACAGCCATGGTCGGGGTCAGGCCGAGGCCACGGAGCTCGCGGAGGCAAGGCTGAGGACGAAGAGTGGATGCCCATCACCAAGCTGGGCTGCCTGGTCAAGGACATGAAGATCAAATCCCTGGAGGAGATCTATCTTTTCTCTCTGCCCATTAAGGAATCTGAGATCATTGATTTTTTCTTGGGGGCATCTCTTAAGGATGAGGTTTTGAAGATTATACCAGTGCAAAAACAGACTCGCGCTGGCCAGCGGACCAGGTTCAAGGCGTTTGTTGCCATTGGGGACTACAGTGGTCATGTCGGCCTGGGTGTTAAGTGTTCCAAGGAAGTAGCCACTGTTATCCAAGGGGCCGTCATCCTGGCCAAGCTCTCTATTGTCCCAGTGTGGAGAGGTTACTGGGGGAATAAGATCCGCAAGCCTCACACTGTTCCTTGCAAGGTGACAGGTCGCTGTGGCTCTGTGCTGGTACATCTCATCCCTGCTCCTAGAGGAACTGGCATTGTCTTAGCGCTGGTGCCTAAGAAGCTGCTAATGATGGCTGGGATCAATGACTGCTACACTTCAGCCAGGGGCTGTACTGCCACCCTGGGCAACTTTGCCACGGCCACTTTTGATGCCATTTCCAAGACCTATAGCTATCTCACTCCTGATCTCTGGAAAGCAACAGTGTTCACCAGGTCTCCTTACCAAGAATTCACTGACCATCTTGTCAGGACCCAGGCCCCAGCTGTGGCTACAACATAGGGTTTTTATACAAGAATAAAGTGAATTAAGTCTGTTAAAAAAAAAAAAAGATATTCAACTGGACATTAAGAGGGAAAAAGTCATCCTATGTCTTACTGTGAGTCTGTCTACACTTCAATATCTGTTTAAATTAATAATAACTTCTAGTCAACTAAAAATAATTTTAGTGTTATGTGCCATTTTCAGTTACTGAAGTAACTGAATCTGTTGGTTATAACATTCACAGCATTTCTCTTTGGCAGATAATCTACCCTCGTATTACCAATTTTGCTATGTGTTCAAAATAAAGGATACACCATCACTGATTTCTCCTGTCAGACCCATGAGTCACTCAGCTCTGACTTGAATGAAAATTAGGATATAAAAGTGAAAATGGTCTGAGAGAATGACAGCCACTCCTGAAGGGTAAGTGAAGGTTCAGTGACCTCTGGGCACACTGGTCCATTCTGGTGAATCACTGCTTTGGGGAGGCGACAGGCCCTGTGGCTCATAAAACCTGACGATATTAAGAAGAGGGAAAGAATTCACAGTAGATGTCAGGGTCACTGCTAGAAATACAACTTTAAAAATTCAAGTGTAAGGGAAAATACTATATTTAAAAAAGAATTACTAATGTTTCTTTTTCTTTTTAAATTGAGGAAAATTCATACCATACAGATGTTCATTACTTATTCAATGTATACCACTGGGAGATAAATAGAACTGTTAGAATACAAAAATGCCCAGGGTAATTCAACTACTGCAGTGTAAGTGTGGCATAACTGATTCGTCATGACATACAATTTTCTAAAAGCTATTCTGTTAGGAGGCAATAAATGAGTGCATAAATGATTTACACTCTTCTGAACCACAGTTATTATTCAGGATTTTATTTTTAAAAAATATACACCCTATAGTATTATGTTTATTCTCTTGAGTATAATAAAAACATAATTGAATTTGATGAAAAATAGACTTGTTTCTAAATGTAGCATACAGCACATACAGCTACTTCCTTATTTTATCCCTTGTGAAGATCAATGGTCACTTGAGGTGGTTCTGCTCTAGGTTCCTTCTAATATATGGGCAATAAAATACTTTTAATTTAAAAATTATACCCTTATATTCCATACTATATTTTCTTTTTAGTACTAACATCTGAGTTTTGACCTAATAATAATTTATGAATACAAAATACAGTATTATAATCACTGTTTTATTTTAAATATGATTCCGTACTGACCAGGTAGGACAGGAAATTAAACATAGATCCTTTGTAAATAAAACTGAAGTAGTCTATAATATAAACATCAGTGACTTGTTTTGTTTTGATGCCATTGTGATGAAAAAACTTTACTTTTTAAGGAATATTTCAATTTTTTAAAACATAAGCATCCCTAGAATTTAGGTAAATGAGTTATTATGCTATTTAAGTGAGTACTGTTTTCATTTGTATAAAGTTCTTTTGGACTAGAGATGGTGTCATGCAATATATAAACATATAATATAAAAGTTAGATAAATATATAATTACACTAAGGTTTAGTATAGTTATTTCATATTTATATAAGTATCAAATATACATACACTTAGACAATATGGTTAAGTCATATATACGCTATCTTTTAAAATATGTACTACATATGGACATATGTATAAGGGCAAATATAAATCAAAAACAAGAGGTTCACTTACTCCTGTTGAAAATGAGGGAAATGCTTTCCCTTCTCTCCTTTTTCTTAGAGCATTTACCCTAGAAAACTTGTAATCATAAGTACTTTTTCATCTTTTTGACATGTATCCCTTGAAAGACTAGATAGACCTTTTGTCATCAGGCCTTCTGCACCTTTATGGCCCAGGCATGTCCTTCTGGAGAACCTGAGAGCTATCTTTTTGAAATGTAAACATCAAGGGAGGTCATTCCCCAATCTCTCAGTTCCCCTGGGAGAGTAAAAGCCTAACTTCAGGGGCATCTTGTCCAATTTTCAAAATTACCTTCTGTCATAAAGATATAAGAAGTTTATTTCTCCTCGGGATAAAGACAATTAGCTAACACAGGTGGTCTCCCTAATTACCACAGTGAAATTAGGATGAACTATGTGTGACAAAATGTGCTGTCCAGTCTTAGCAAATGTTTATCTTGACAATGTGAAATGTAATGGGGTTGCTATCTGCTTGGCTATGTGAGGGTGAGATTCCTTTCTTACTCTGCAGTCTCTTAAGGGATTGCCTGGGATGCGTATCATACTCTTGTTTAATGCTTATCCAGTAATAAAAGTGTGTTCTTTCTCCACTACCTTCATGGACAGGATATTTGGGATGGGAAAAGATTTTGTCTTTCAGTATAACTCCCAACAATATGCTGTCTTTTTAATTTATTTATGCCCATTGTTAAACTACTTCCAAGCAAAACAGGATGAAGGGTATTAGAGGAACATTTTATTTGCTTGGTTTGGTTTCTTTGAAAATTCCCTATAACTAAACAGTAAATTTTTTAAAAAGGAAATGTTATGTATCACATGCAATAGAAATTTTTACTGTGGTTCCACAGTATAGGCAAAATGCTCATATGCCTCTGGCCAAAAAAGCCATTTGAGAGAGAGCAGTGAAAAGATTTTGTGCAGGCATACTTGTAAGAAACTGAGGCAGAATCCCATGTGGCCAGGTTGGTTGTGAGCCTAACATGACCAAGGCTTCAGCAGGAATAGCATTTACTGCGTTAAGGAATTAAGGTTGACTTTATAAGGCCAACAAAAAAGCCCTTTGGAAAACTGGCCAGATACCATCAGTAACCTTTCCTGATCTGTGGTAAGTAATAAAGGTCGCTTGCTGACAGGTCCAGAATAGAAATGTGCTCATGGACCTCAAGAGAAGAGGAATTTACCCAATGCATACAGGTATCTAATGGCACAGCCTGAAAATTCCTTACAAAAGTATCCAGCAAAACCCCCCTGACTTAAGGCCTACATGGGAGCAGAGGTTTGCACACACATTCCTGTATGCCCAAGAAGTTTCTTTATGCCTTGGTAAAAGATCCGAAGTAACAGCCTCCAAACGGCAAGGCCAGCAAGGGCAGGTATTCAATCTACCTTGTTCCTCCATAGCCTCAGGCTTCATCAGATAAGAACAAAGAAGTAATGGCTAACAACATGTTCTCCATTAAGTTATGTTAAATTGGGTTATGTTGATAGGGTTATGTCAAAAGGTGTATGTTGCGTGGTTTATTGGAAGCTAATCACAAGGTAGTCACATGATGTTTAAATGGATCAATGAGGTCATTGCTGTATTGTGCCCATGTACAAAATTCCCTATATAAACCAACTGAAAATAAAGAAGCTCGCCATTTTGCCTGAGTGAGCAGATGGTCACCTTTATTTAAAATACAATTCCAATAAGCGTGCTTATTCTCCACTACATCGCTTTTCCGTGAGACCCATATGGCCACACACAGTGAAAACCTATAGGAAGTGAATTACAACTTTTGAACAAAAGGATTCAAACAAGTGAACTGCTTGATTATAGGGCCCACCAATATACATGAAGATAATGTCCTTTCTATTGAGGATCATGTATCAGCAAGAAACTACTTAGCTGTCCCTGATTCCTCCATTTTTTAGAAACATGACCTTTTGGGTAGGTAATTAAGACTGACTTGGTAAAGCGATTCTCTATGGATTCCCTAGCCTCCTACTTAATTGAGAAGGAGTCTTAAAATGATAAACATTATGCAAAGAAAAAAATTTATTTTTAATGTTCTCTTTTCAGCAAATCAAGAAACCATGGCCTTATAATACCTTATATTTTACTACCTTAGTTTCAAAGTTTTAATTTCTATGCTTATCCTTCAAAGGAGAATGCTGAACTCTAAACATATAATGAAAATCCAAGACATTGATACTGGCAAGCTCTAAGAAATTATCAGCAACAATCGGTAAACTTTAATTAGCCTGCTTAAGATAGTGCTTATAGATTCTTGTCTTAAAATATTAATCAGATAAAGATAACCATGTTAAATTTTAAGGAGGGGTTCTAACCAATATTTTTCAGAAAAGTTAATGATAATTAATACTTAAAATTATTTAAGAGCAGGAAACAGTAAATTTCAAGTAAATGAAATGTGAAAACAGCTTACTTTAAATAATTAGCAATATTTACCTTTTAGCATTTTGTTCAATCTTTTCATCAATGTCACTGAAGATCTGATCAAACTCCAAGTCTCCAGGAAATGAGTTTAACAAACAACATAGGTCAAATGAATTATGTGAATATTCATCATCCCAAGCCATTCTAAGGAACAAGAATAAAGAATAAAACATGTCAGTTCTCCCAAAATGGAGGAAGGGAGAAACTCACCTCAAGTTGTGATACCAAACCAAAAGTCATAATTCTCATTTATAGGCACAAGGAAATCTAGCAGTGGGAGAACTGGGGCATTATAGAGTTAAGTAGAGTGTTTTGTTATTTAAATTTCATGAGGTGTGACCTAATTTTCACCCTTCTCTATGGTTTGAAAGCTGAACAAAGCGGCAGCCCTCAGAAAATACTAAAGCATCCTGCCACTCCTCACTGTTACCAAGAATCGCAAAGCAAATCACAAAGCACAGACTGCTGGAACCAGAGTAGGTGTGGCAAGAACTCAACACCTCCTTTTACCCTTCTCAGTATTCTGACCTGGAAACTGTGGCCTCAGATTTTTCAAAGCCTCCCTCATCTGGGGCTATAATAGGTGAAGACAAAATCTCCCCTGAGCTCCTCTAGCGCCCATCGACAATTGAATGAAAACTGCGGGATATGCTACTCTTTCTTGAGGACCACGTGCTTTCCCACTATCGAAGCTTCATTCATTCACTCACTCATTCATCTTTTACATGTTCATTGAATGTTTGACAGGTAACAGACATTGCTGCAGCGGCAGGGATACAGCTGAAATAAGTTAAAGTTCCTGCCCTAACGGAGTTTTTATTCCAGTGGGGAAGACAAATTTTAAAAACACAAAAACATGTATTTTATCAAAGACTACATCATGAGAAGTGCTCTGAAGACAAGTCAAACAGAGCAATGGAGAGTGATGAAGCTGGGGTGGGGTACGAGCTAATGTACTCAGGAATATCAGGGAAGGTCTCTCTGAGGAAGTGACAAGAAGTGAAGAAGCTGTGGGAGAAGAAATATGTGGAAAAGATGAATTAGCCTCTTCATTGCGTTTGCCAAGAAGTGACTCTTGTCACATCTACTCATCTTTCACTGCTGAAACTCCTCACACAACCTGACCTGGATGCAAAGGCGGCTGGCAATGCTATCACAGGCTAGGCAGCTGATTCCAGGACACCCGGCACTATGGATGGAGATCGTTAACTTCTGGGAGGCAGCTGTTTGGTCATTGCCATTCACTGGGTTAACCTCAATTTTTCTCTTTCATGCTACTGATTTGCCTAAAATGTCTGGATCCTTGGTTGTCTGGTCTTATTTATCACCAAAAGACTAGGTTGATACATTTGGTATCTAGCAAGGCTTTTCTCTACTACTATAAGAGTTATTTTATCCAAAAGGTTTCTCCATCCAGAGCAGGAAGGTTGATTCAGACACTGTGTGAACAGATGGCACATAGCTATGGGTAGGCTTCTCTTCAGAATTTGTGAACAGAAGCAAGCACATAACTGATGATGTGAACAAGTGACTGAGAATAACTCATGGCTCGATTGGAATAATTTGGTCTTTTTCACGTTGGCGTAGATCTATTTGTTTCCTTTCAAGGCCTCGGCAGAGGTCCGTAAGTAACCTGGACTCTGTTGTGCTCTGTGGTTTCATACCCATGCCATTCTCCCTAACCACCTAGATTTTCAAATTTGCTTACAAAACACTTGAAGGAAGCACATGCTATAGCATAATAGAGAAGGAGCCGACTTGTTCAGCTGCTCTTTAGCTCCTTACCCCATGATGACTACCCTGTAGCCTACTTCACTTTTCAATTTTTCTCTGAAGTTGACCTAACTCCAGAAGGTGGCTCCTGCCACACACCACAGCAATTTCTTCTATGTGGCATTGAGTGTGCCTTCCAGGTCTCCAGTTTCTTTATTGGTCTATACCTCTCTACTTTCTCTCTTCCAAAAACATCCCAATAGAACATCATATTTCTTTTAGGGTTGTGAAAATGCAAAAAATTATGAGTCTTTAAACGTTTAAAATTTGATGTAGAATCTTTTCAAATACGTGTGGTAGAGACCAACTACTTATTTGATACACAAATGTTTTCAAATGACAATTCTGGCAAATTAAATATAAAATTAAATAATATAAAGTCATAAGCCCCATAGAATGCTTATGGACAACATTGGTCCTATAAGAAATTCTTATGAAGTAGTGTAGTGATTATCTATCTATCTACTGTGTTCTGCTTTTCTCTTCTACATATAAGCAAACTATATATACTGTAAATGTTAAATTTATACTGTACTTATAGTATTTAAATATTATTATCTATTTATAAAATTATTTTAGAGGGAAAACAATATTTTAGTAAATAACATAGATTACAGGAGTTAAATCTAACTTTAAACATTGTTTTCCTAGTATAATACAGAAAATCAAGACTATTTAATAGGATACAGTTCTAAAAATTAGCCCCTCAGGACTTATGGACTTAGCATTCAGTTTTAACCAAGTAGTAGTACATTTCAGTGTCTATGACAAGTAATCACAGATATTTCCCAGGCTGCAGTGCCATGGCTTCATAGCTAATAGCAACCTCCTGTGTTCACGTGATTCCCCTGCCTCAGCCTCCTAAGTAGCTGGGACTTCAGGTGCCCTCCACAATGCCTGCCTAATTTTTCTATCTTTAGTAGAGATCAGTTATCACTCTTGCTCAGGCTGGTTTTGAACTCCTGAGCTCAAGCAATCCACTTGCCTTGGCCTCCCAGAGTGCTGGGATTACGGGCTTGAGCCACCTCACCCAGCCAGTTTACTTACATTCTAAAAGTAGGAATGTCAAGGGCCATTTCACAACATTCTTGTTTCCTTAACATACATAAAGTTCCCTTTTAAGGCAACAGAAGGCTGTCTAGTTTTTTCTCTCCTAAATAAATCATTTTTCTTCACTTTTAAAATTATTCCCAAAAATTACCTAAAGCTTTCCCATTTGTAATTATAGGACTAATATTTGCATTTATTACATAATTTGTATGTTGTAGGAAATACTGAATATATTTTTTCATCAGCATTTCCTACAGTTACATACCACTTTTGATTTTAGAGAACGGATTCTTGAAGCTAGTGCTGATAGATAGAACAGTCTCACCCTGTATGATTTTACTTAAATAGAACATGAAAATACAAGGGACACGTTATAACTAGCCATGCAACAGAGTAGTTTGACCCTATTTATTCAAGACACTTAGAAAAATAGTTTGAGTATATTGAAGGAAAAATATGAAGAGTTTTTATTTTTAAATTTCTTTCAAAATAGATATAGCCAAATGTGTAAATAATTATCATATTACTAAAGAATGTTGAACTATACAGCCTATCAATGCCTAACTATTACTACTTTAGAAGTTAATAATTTTGTATTTTATATCTTAGAAGAAAGGTTGGCAATTAGTCTTCATCTGGTATTGCTAAAAGGTTATAGTTTTAAGACAATACAGTTTAAGAAATATAAATATTATGTATAAATTAGGATTCTCCACGTAATATCTACTATTTGTAAGACAGATTTCATATATAGTACCTTCCTTAATTCTTATAAGATACCATATTTTGCCATGAATAATGCATAATTTTTACCCAAATTTTTGAGGGAAAAATAAAGATGCACATTCTATAGGGTAATTTCTGTATCTTTATAAATGTCTAAGTGTAGTTTCTATATCTATATAATGTATAAATGTTTAATTGACTATTTATGCTTATGTGTTGAAAGTGTAACTCTAAAAAGCAATAAAGAGATTCGTATTCAAAATAATATCCCAGAATATGGTAATCGGTTTTGTTGAACCTATGATAAACTTGCAAGGAAAGCATTCTCACCAATGAAGACCAGGACTAGCAAGTTAACTGATACTTTTACAAAAATTATTGGAAAATTCCTTGAAAAATGTCAAAATGGTTTTTGCACATTGCAAATTTTAAGCTATAGTTAATAACTTATGAAGAGAAAAGGTTTAAGCATGAGAACATGAACAGAACTTGCCCCAAAACTTCCAGCAGCCTATGAGAATCAAGTTTTGGAATGTTATTCTTATGCTATTAATCTTTGAAAGACTTAAAACTTCCAGCTGCTCCCAAGATACCAATACAGATGAGGTCTCACTCACATTTGATGTACCATGCAACAGAACTGTGGATGTCAGGGTAGAGACTATGCATGGCTGTTAAAACTAGTGGACATGAGAAAACTGTTGATCCAGACCACTGTGCAGATGACACAAAGTCACCACCTATGGTCATCTTTTACTAAAGATAAGATTCCAAGTGGAGTTACTGTCCACCTGCATGGAAAAAGATAGATGAACAAAAAAGGAATAAAAATGGGATTTAACAAAGTCTGGTCCTCAAGGATTGGAGATTACTTAAGAAACAGCTTTACTTATTTATGATCACTTCATAGCCCATGTTATACAAAGTGCAAAAACAATTGCTGTGGACTTGAAAACCCAACCTGCTGTGATACCTGGTGGGCCAACCAGACAACTTCATATGTCAGTATACAAGCCCCTTAAGGCTCTAATAAAGAAAGAGTGGACATCAAGGATGCAGCCAGCTGGTAATGATTTAACACTCATAGACAGAGTCGAGAAAACATCTATCACTCAGGTTTGTGACTGGATCCTAAGATTGTGGAACAGTGTCAAGAAAAATGGTTGTGAAATCCCTTAAAAAATGTAGCACCATTAGCGAGAAGAAGACGAGTGATCCCATCTCAGGATGGGCAAGGGACTTGAAGAGAAATTTCTCCAAAGAAGAACGGCGTACGGCCTACAGATATATGAAAAAATGCTCACCATCCTTAATCATCAGAGAAATGCAAAT